GGTAATTCAGTTCGGCTTGGTAGAGTTCAGGATTAGAACAATGTGTTCTTGCCCGGTTGATTAGGGTGGTTGATTTTTATCTGTTGATTTTTATCTGTAGATTTTCCTATTCTGCATTATCGTGTAACGTATTGCGGAAAACTCGATTATCAAAATGCAGGTTCCTTGAAATTCCTGAAAAAAATAGAATACTGATTAAGAGGTCATCTACTTAAACTTATCTGATGTCAAATTACGGTTCTGGAGTAAGATTAGTATAGTCCGCGGCGCTAAGCGCCGCGCACACCTTCAATTTGCATGCGGAACAACTTACTCCTAGCGGCCGCGGGAAACATATTCAACTACATTTTTTCCACTTTGCACTTACTTCTAAAAATTTCCTTCACTGCCTGTCCTATTTCCTATTCTCAAAACACCTTTAACCACCGTTTCGGTATGGAAAGGTGCTGTGACTAGGGGCATATGAGGTGCACTACTTGAGCTACTTTTGCCACCCCAACACTAAGTCTAACATAAAAGTCGGCGGTAACTTTACTCCTAACTCTAGCTCTACCCTAACTGTAAACCCTATAATTAACACTAGCCATAACCTTAACCCTTCACATAATCCTGATCCTAGCCCCAAGCTCTGATCTTAATCTCAACCTTAAACCGAATCCTGACCTTAACTCTAACCCTCACCTTAATCCTTAGCCTAATCTCCCACGGAATTAGGCGCAAAGGCTGTCAGGGCGACCCAGCACGTGAGTCATCACCCTTGTCATCCTGAGGTCACGCCTGACAAATGGTCACGAACAGACGTAAGCGTGCTGTCTCAAAGAGCCGTGAACATGAGTAAGAACGCCGCCAAGTTATGCATGTCCCTGAGAGGACCACCAGCACCCGATGGCTGCCCGGAGGGATGTTTTATTAATCACGTCAAGAGGTCTGTGAGGAAGATGTGGGACCCAGGCGTCCGAAAGGGGCATAGAAAAACCAGACCGCTTAAACACCTCATCGTTGACCCAAGCAGGAAGAAATATGCATTACCTCTTTCAAAAGCAGGAGGTTTTAGGGTCGCGAGCGGCCATGCACCCTGAGCCTACGGCCTGGAGTCATGCGTACATGCAAACAGCGAACGCTAACGACCGTTCTTACAGCGTGAGGAACTATCGATCAGCGGCAGGCCAGAACAGCTGTCGCATGCTATTGGGCCAGGAGTATTCAAGAAGGCCAGAAGGAGAGGCTAAG